GAGAGATGAAGCCTTGACTTCCAAGTTTCTCCCTGCCATCTTCCACCCCACAATAAAAAAGTTAGCTGCTCACAATATTTATCTTTGCTAAAGGGTGGGTAGAGACTATTTCAGGCTCTTCACCGTGGCCCCATTTCTGCCCAGGGACATTCATTCATGGAGGCAGTGCTCCAGGTTGACCCAGAAGGAGATTGTCCAGGCAAAACAACCATATCTGTGTCTGCTAAGCAGCTATTATGGAAGCCTCAAGCAGGACCAAGACTATCACTGATGTTCTCCTGTGACCAAGTCCTTTCAATACCAGGGACCATGTGCAAGTGCTAGATGGTGCTCTGTAGTGCTCCAGGGCCCCCAACCCCGGTGAGCTTGGAGAAGTGACATTTTGCTAAAGTCACCCAGGAAGAGGAAGTGGAAGGCTGCCCTGGGATGCAAGGAACACCGAAGACAAAGTCTCTTCCATCCCCTCGGCTGGTTTTACAACCCACCAGTGAAATCCTTCCAGGCTATGAGATTCTTTTTTAAAGTGCTGTTTTTCAAGAGCAGAAGGAATCATCCTCAAAAACATCTGTACTTGTTTCAAATGGAAGTGGCCACTGCCAGGAAAACAGCAACGTTGCTCTGTCAGAGCCAGTCTGTATTTATTCTTCTGTCCTTGTTTAATTAGATTAATCCCTCAATGGTTTCCCTTGGGTCGGTACAAGTCACTCGTGGCCATAAATCCCCCACATTCTAAAAACAGTACAAAAGGGCCATCCGCCTGGAGCCAGCTGGCCTGGGCGCCGTCCGGACCACTCCCTGGGAACGCGAGCAGCAGCCCCGCTCTCCTTGCAAGGCACGCTTAGTCTGTGCATCTGCAGTTCTCTGGGCTGCTGGGAGAGGGGACTGCACTCACACTGAGATTGGTCTGGAAGAAGAAACAAACAGGGAATCTCACATCATCAAGGGGAGGCCAGCCGGTCTGGTTTAATGGGGTGGGAGTGCCTGAGCCTCTGGACTTTGAAATGGTCTCTAGCAGCTTCTCTGGATAGCCGAGGCCGAGTGCTGCTACCTCTGCACATGGGACTTGGCAGCTATTCTGCAGGCTGTACACTGGTGTCCCATTCTGTCCTGAAAGGAAGGAGCATTTCCTTGCCTCTTGCTCTGCCTATTTTCTAGGGGGAATCTTTAGGGGCGGGAAATGTTGCTTCAAGGTCTTGGCTCATTCTACTTGTTTTGTTTTTCTTCTGAGATTAAACCCAGGTTTAGCTTTTGTACTGAGCTAAATCCCTCGCCCTTTATATAACTTTAAAAAAAATCTCCCCAGCTGGGCTCAAGCTTGCGATCCTCCTGTCTCAGCCTCTCAGAGACTGGAATTAGAGGGGCATGCAACTCATTCTACTTTTCTTTCTTTCTTTTCTTTTTTTTTTTTTTTTAAGATTTTTCTTTGATGTTTTTATTTATTTTTTTAAATTTTTTAATTTATTTGTGTGTGTGTGTGTGTGTGTGTGTGTGTCCAGCTCAGCCCACCAGGGGGCCAGGCTGGCTGGCATGTGGTGCTGGGGATTGAACCGTGGTCCCTGTGCTTTACTAAGCTTGTTCTAAGTAGGTGCTTTAGACCACTGAGCCATCTCACCAGCTCTCCTTCTACTTTTCTAAGGATTCTTTGATAATGTGTTGATTACTAGGAAAGCAAACAATGACAAGAGAATAAGAGTCACCTGTATTTCCCCCTCCTTGGTCACCAGGGTTAGGCAGGGCTCCCACTGACCCTGAAAGGGCAGAGTCAGGCCCAGAGGCCTTGTATCCCCCTGAGCAGGGCTGTGCCTGCAGCCTCTTTCTCACCTTCAGCACTTTAGGCAGCAGTGTTGCCCACCCACCCAGGCCGAGTCTAGAAGGCAGGACCCAGTAATCACTGCTCTGTGTAACCACGTCTGCAGCTGGCACTGTGGCACTGCCATCAGGGAAGGGGGTAGGGGCCTGGCAGCTGCTGAGTAAGGCCAAAAACTCTGCATGGCGCCAGGTCCTGGAAGCAGGAGGGGAATTTTGCCGTCATCCCACAGGCAAAGCGAAGCTGCTCAGCCTGAAATTGCAGGTGTGGCTGTCCCTGCTGGAAGCTGGGGTCTCCACTGAGCTGTGGGAAAGGTCTTTTAAGGTCCCAGGGCTGAGGGGCTACCAGCTTACCCTTCCCAGCATGGCACTGGTGGAAACGCTGGTGTCCCTTTCCAGGACTTTCCTGGCTCAGACTCCTCACTGTGTTCAGGTGGCCCACAGCCATCCAGAGTCAGGTCTTTGCCATCCCCTCCTGCTAATTCCCTTGGAATTCTGCAGCAGAGCTCAGCACCAGCCTGTCCCTTGTCCCCCTCCTGTGCACATTCTGCATGCTCTTCACGGCCAGCTGGAACACACTGCTCCTCTTCCATGTGTCTAGCACCTCCCTGAGACCTGTTTCCAAACTGCCTTGTTGTTGTTTTTTCTTTTTCTTTTTTTTTTTTGGTGGAACCAGGGATTGAACTCAGGCCCTTGCACTTGCCAGGGAAGTGCTTATTCCACTAAGCCATCTCCCCAGCCCTGCCTTGGGACAATCAGGTGCCATGACTCTGGACTCTTGCGGGACTGTCAGCATCCATCTTAGCAATTCATCACGCTCCAGCTGTTGTAATTTAGGTTGGTTTTGGTAGCTGCATTGGCTTTCAGTTCCTCAAGTGGGACTAGCTCACCGCAGGACATTTGCAGCTTAGGGCTTTTGCATTAGCTAGATTTGCAGCTGCCATCCCCCTTCCAAGACAGCCCAGCTCCACCTCTAATAGAATACAAACTGCATGACATCAGGAGCCCCTTGTCTATTTGGGGACACATCCCCAGTGCCTGGGACACAGTAGACAGAAGACATCAACACATGTTTAATGCATGAATGAGTGGATATCTGTGGATCAAGTATTTCTTATATCTCTGGCCGAGGTTTGTAACTACTGATGTGTTTTGTCATTCCTTGATTATTTCCTATAATTTTGTACCAGCTGGGTTCCTTCCATCTAAATCCATTGGAAACCAACACTGAAAATCCCAGCTGGAGTTTCCCTTAATTGGAAATCTAATACAAGGCTACTAGTAAGAAGCCAAAGAATTTGACTCTATAGTTTTTTTTTTTGTGATTGTTTTCATGTACGTTATTGATTTGGAAGTGAAAATCCTTCTTTTAGGATTGTTACAGAGTCTTTATTTGTAGAATCTTCGGCCTGAATGTTTTTTAAATATGATAAGACAGACCTTATCTTAAGATTTAATAAAATGATTTAATGTATGTAGCATGGCTGCTGAACCAAATCAGCTTTTATCTCATCAATCTGATGTCTTATATTTACCTAAAAGTACAATAAACTGTGAAACTCAGAGACCTAGGAGGTGAGATGCTATAGAACCGTTGGAGCCCAGAGCCGATCAAGCTTTCTACGTAACCAAGACATTAGAGCACCTCTAATAGTGAACGCTTCTGACCAGGACAAGGCTCTTTTTACACTCAACCCCTTCAGTCCCTGCTGCTTCTCTGCAGTTGCAACAGTAAGATCCAGGTGCAGCCAGCTGTTTCCGAGCACCCAAGCTGTCTCCTTGCTGGGAAACAGCGTCATCCTGTCTGCAAGGAGAGACTGAGTCAGGGTGACTCTAACCTCGGCGTCCTCTGATAGAGTCTTACTGTGCTGGCGGTCGATGTAGGCCTGTGTGTGTGTGTTCCTACATTGCATGTGAATTAGTAGCCAGGGCTTGACACTTGGTGCACGCATAATGAATATCTGACATCCCATGAGCGTGAGCAGCCACGCTTCCCTTCTTCCCTGGTCACTTTCTTACAGCTGTCAACTCTGTTTTCTTACTGGGATGAATGAACAGAGTTCAAAAGTTTTCAGAGATCTTCCTTTACATAAATGGATAAGAGAAATTGCTGGGAACACGGCAGTTAGGGCTGTTTGTAGATGTGCTGTGTTTTCAATGGAGTAGAAAGTCCTCAAACTGTGCCCACCTGCATGCAGCAACCCTATCTGCAGTATGTCATAGCCAGTGCTGAATCATCTTGTACCTCAACGATCCTGTGATTATGGGGTGCATTCAGTACCCAGAGGACAGGATCAGAGCTCAATACGAACAAGTCCAAATAGCTTCTGCGCACCTTTCACCAACGTAGGAAATTATAAAACAGTATTAATTAAAACTTAATGTAGGGCTGGGGAGATAGCTCAGTAAAATAAGCACTTGCCAGGTAAGCACAAGGGCCTGAGTTTGATCCCCGGTTCCACCAAAAAATAAGTAAATAAATAAAGCCTAATGCATTTCAAAGGGTGAAAAATAATTTCAACTTTAAATTAAACTATGTTTTGCTGGGGTGGTGACACACACCTGTAATCCCAGCACTTGGAGGCTAAGGCAGGAGGATTGCCACAAATTTGAGGCCAACATGGGCTACATAGTTAGTTCAAGGCCAGCCTGATCTTCATAGTGAAAAATAAGTAAATACTGTCTCAAAAAATAAATAAATACTGTTTTTGTAAACACAGAAACTCACCACAATGTTAACTGTGGATGACTTTGGATAGTAGGATTACAGGAGCATTTCCTTTGACTTGTTTTTTTTTTTTTTTTTTTGAGGCAAGGTCATGCTCTATTGTTAAGGCTAGCCTTGAACTCTTTAAGGAGGGATCAGGGATATAGTTTAGCGGCACACATGCCTGCCTGGAAAGTGCAAGGTCTTGAGTTCAGTTCCCAGTACGGGGGGTGGGGGGAAATACTCACTAAGGAACCTAGGCTGGTCTTGAACTTGCAGCAATCCTCCTGCCTCAACTTCTCAAGTGTTGGAATTATAGGTGTGTGTCACCATGCTCTGCGCAGCTTTCCTTTGATGTAGTTTTGTTTTCTACTCTGATTATCTAGTAGTATTTATAGTATTTTTTAAAAGTTACTTTCAGCAAAGCTGTGGCGTGGCCTGGGCATCTCCCTCCCTACGGGGTTCTCATGGTGCGCCTTTGCCCCAGTCCAGGACCTGTGCGCCTTGGAGGACCACGCGTGTGAGCAGCTCTGTGTGAACGTGCCCGGCTCCTTCGTCTGCCAGTGCTACAGTGGCTACTCGCTGGCTGAGGACGGGAAGCGGTGTGTGGGTGAGTATCCTCCTGCGGCTTCGTGTGGAAGAAAGCCAAGTGGGAGAAGGAGGGTGAGGAGGCTCAGAGCGAACATCCCAGGCTCCTCTGGGTTGCAACAAAATGCTCAGTGTCTTGATCTGGTTAGGCAGAGTTTGATTCTAAAGATGTCATCTGTGGGGCTACAGTCAGCATTTGTTCGCTCCGATCCTCAGCAAAGGCCTAGTGATGATACTCTTCAGTGCAAAGAGTTGTCTATTATGGCATTGCCCAAGAAGGACCAGGTGGATTTTGTTCACCTGAAGTGGCCTGACTTAAACACAGGTCACATGAAATGCTTTTGGCAGTGGGCAGGGGGGCTGGGGGGGGCTCCTTCCTCCTGCCTAATGCATCTCCTGGTCCTCAAGTGGCCCCAGTGACCGCCCCATGTGAGAGCCCACCTGTCTATGTCAAGACAGTGCAGTCGGAGAAAACTGTGGCCCCACCCAAGGCCAAGCCCTCAGGTCCAAGGCAGAGCCTGGCCACATCGGCGTGAACTTGCAGCGGGCTCAGCTCCTTCCCACTCAGGCACCGCCACGCCGAGTGGTCAGGCAAGAGATGGCAGAGGCAGGATAGCATCCAATTTAGTCAGCACTGGCTCCGAGTTCTCACTGGCACCTGCAGAGCAGGCATTAGGACTGGAGCCTTGAGTTTCTCACTAACGCCCACATTTTCACCTACATACCCTGTTGCTTTCTGACACACTGCTGTATCATGTTTTGCTTCCCACAGTGTGTACCTGCTTGTTTACCTATGTTTGTGCATAGAATTTACATATACCAGTCACCTTGATTCTTAGCAAGGAATATGAAAGGAGAACAACACAGCAGAAGGTGGTAGCTGCTCTTTGTTGGTGAGCGATGACAGCTTTGGTTTTTCACACCAAGGAGGCTGGTCAGACACTTATAGAATTGGTCTCCTTAGCCAGAGAGCTGTTTTTTGTTATTTATGTGCTATTGTTGTTGTTTTGGGGAAGATTATCTTCATCTGCTGCTGGTGACCATGGCAGAGTGGCAGACAGTATCACTAGCACTAGAATTTGCTGAAAATGCAAGCAAAAAGGATGAAAATAAGGGTAAATGTCAAGTCTTACTTTTTGCTTCATTGCCTTGCAGTGTGGAAGTGATATATTCTCACTGATAAACTTAGAACAGACAAAGCAAAAGCCTGAGCGGGGTGATGCTGAGTTGCCAGGGAGCTGACGGGCTGTGTCATTAGTGGTGACCTTTCTCTTGCTGCTGCTTATAAGCGCAGGAAAACGTCCAGCTATCCTCAGAGGGCCTAAGAGAAGAGGCAGGATGGTGAGACCTGGGTCCCATCCCTCCGCCCCAGAACCACCGTCCTCATACCCATTGTGCTGACCCAATCCTGAGCAGGCAGCAGATCTGCAGAAGCTTCTAGAGAAGTGACCAGCAGATCTCAGGGGCCAGGGCCCTTGGTAGGGAGTCTCAGAAGGTCACTGGCACTGCTGCATGGGGCTGAGAGACAGAAATGCAGAGGCCAGAGAAGACAAAGCAATGGAGAAGCACGAGGGTTTGGGCCCAGAGGGAAGGGCAGCACTTGGCCAGGTGTCCAAGGCCAGGGCAGGTATGTCAGGCAGAGTGACAGTGAGGAGGAGGCTGTGCTCGCAAGCACAAGGGTCAGAGGGCAAGGGTAGGCAAGGTTTGCTCCTGGCTGCTAGGCTGGAGAGAGAGATGGTCACAGTGGGACACTCCATAGGAGAGCTACATAGGCAGCCTAATGCAAGGAAGGAAGTTGTCAGAGGAAGACAACATGTGCCAGACTTAGCGGGGAGATTTAGAAGACAGCAGAGATGAGAAGGAGCCTGGGGCCTCCTCTGCCAGCAACTGGTCCAGGGCAGGTGTGTACTCTGAGTATAGCTCAGTGGGAAGGCCCTACCAAAAGCGCGCCTCTCTAAATCCCTGGTTACCCAGGCTGGGCTCAAACACACTCCTCCAGCCTCAGCCTCCCAGAATGCCAGGATTACAGATGAGTGCTGTTGCACCCACCGACTCATCTTAACTTAATCACTTCTTTTTTTAAAAAAAATTTTAACAAGTACCAGCATTTTATTTATTTATTTATTTTTATTTCTTTTTAGTACAGGGTATTGAACTCAGGACCCTGCACTTGCCAGGCAGGCACATATGCCGCTGAGCTAACTCCCCAGCTAACTTAATCACTTCTTGAAAGGCCCTCATCTCCCAATACAGTCATATTCTGATGTCTCAGGGTTAAGGCTTCAACATATGGATTCATATTGTTAGGAGGAGCAGAATCCACCCATAACATTCCACTAGTGCTCTCAAAATTCATAGGAAACCTCCCCTGAGCTTTCCATGGGAGGGAAGGGTTAGAGTCTGCGTGTACGTTAGTGTCTAATGCACACTCAGCAAGTAAACTGGCTCTACCGTCTCAGGACATTTAGTGTTTTTACTTTCTCATCAGCAAATGTTAAAATCCAACGCTCCTCTTGAATATGTCCTGTTTCCACAGACTGATCCCTGCTGAAAACCTTGGGATGTGAGCAGATTTAAATCGGAAATGACCACTGAGATGGTCATTCTCTTGCACCTGAGTATCACTTACCCATGAATGCAGCCAGGCGACCTCCCACAGGGCAGAGACCAACTTCCAAACCCGAGACCCCAGAACTCTGACCCAGAGGCCAGCGGACACCAGGGAATGACCGTGTTCTTTCCATTTGGAAAGGACAGTGTGGGAATTTCAGGCAGAAATGACTGAGAAAGGATTTGTTGATGTAGCTGAGGACTTAGAACAACAGAGGCATGCTGGTGTTACACATAAAGATCATCTCTATACATCTGTCCGCTAACCTTGGCCTTCCTCTCTTTCTTTTTCCTGGCACTGGAGATTGAACCCAAGGACTTCACACTGAGCTGCAGCCCCACTCCATCTATTTATCTATTTTAAAATGTTGGCACGTGATCTTGCTAAGTCACCAAGTTGCCTACACTGCGCTTGAATTTGTAAACTTGAGATCCTCGTGCCCCAGCCGCCCAGAGCTCTGGGATAACTGCATGTGCCACCATGCCTGGCCCTTTGTCTTCCTTTTTGCAAGTAGTTTTAGAACCAAGGATATTGTGCAATGAGCTCAAAACATTTGGCGAAGGATGTCAGAGTTGGATGCACTAGAATTTGGCCTTCAAACTCTTGGAGGTTCGTGGCCCTGGAAATGAGTCTCTTGATGAGTTTCTGCAGGCCAGCTGCTGCATCTGCTGTCCCCAGTGACCTGGCAGTGGGGGAGTCAGTGAGTGATTCTTGAATCAAGGTGGGCCTTGGACACCTTCTAGTTATACAGGCCAGGGTCTTGGGACGCAGCGCGACCTGCATGAACTTGGGCCTATGGCTGGCAGATGAATGGAAGACATAGCTCAGAGAGGAGACTCCTAAAAAAAAGTGCATATCCAGACCTACCTTATTTATTTTTGTTGAAAACACACAAATACATTTAAGAGTGAGTAGTTCTAAGAATATACTCAAAACTATTAAAGTTGGTTTGAATAAAAATATCTTAAAATCTTGGTTGCATCAATCATGTTGTCTATGATTTTCAGTTTTGAGTTCTCTAAACTAGGACAAGGGTTGGAAGACTTTGGCAGAATGGTCTGCAGACAGAATCCTTGTGAATAGTAGTGAAAAGGACCTAATCCTTTCTACTTGTTTTATTCCTGCCTTGTCTTACAGCAGTTTTGGTTGGGAAATTGCCTCAAGTCTTTCCAAAGCTATCAATTTAATTTATATTTTTTAAAAAGTCAGTTTCTCAAAGTGCTTATATTAATTGGCTGTTATTGTATTTAAATTAGTTATAATAATTATGCAAATAGTATATGTTGATTCAGGGGAAAACCACTTTGTCTTTTTAATAGAGGCTCTTAGATGTTACCACGCATGGAGTCCCTGAGAGCTGGGTAAACACGCACCCCCAAGCTCTGTACTCAGTTTCTACCCAGCTGACCAGGGTGGGACCTGAGAACTGGTGTCACTGACAAGTTCTTGACTGATGGTTGCTGAGCCACTTCCCTGACCCACACTTTCAGAGCCAGTGCTTTCTAAACCCTGCTGTGGGGAGGAGAGCAGCACACGGGGTCTTCAGGCACAGGCGTCTGGCACAGCCATGAGCTCAAGGCCAGGCAGGTGTGGCCTCAGGGGCCGGCTGCCCAATCCATCCGGCGTGTTCTGGGCTTGGGCTCCAGATCACATTAGAAGAAAGTGTTTATAGATCAAGTGCCAGCTGAATGGAGGTCGGGACAAGGGCTGCTTCTCTGTACAACGTGGTTTTCTTTTTCTAACACTTGGGCCAACACTGGCTACTCTATTCTATGGAAGAATAGAATCTTGTGAAAAGGTGCGTTTGAAGCATGTGGCTTAGATGGCAGTCTTTGTTTTTTTGTATTCTAGGGAAGGGTCTACAGGGTGTTCAGGGTCTCACTACTAGATCAGACTCAGTGATCTGCCTGTTTACAGCCTCCCAAGAGCTGGGATTACAGGTGCGCGCCACCATGCCCAGTCTCAATTGCCATCTCAGTGTGCCCCGGGGGCATGGCAGGCCCAAGGAAGGATGGAACCCCCAGCCCTGTGCCTGCCATTATTTAGTTTGTGTGTGTGGCCAGCTCAGCCCACCAGGGGGCGGGGCTGGCTAGCATGTGGTGCTGAGGGATTGAACCGCGGTCCCTGTGCTTTGCTATGCTTGTTCTAAGTAGGTGCTTTAGGCCACTGAGCCATCTCACCAGCCCCGGGCACTTTAATCTGTTGAGCTATTTGGCCGGCCCTTAGATGGGAGTCTTAAACAAATGAGGAGCCAGTGTAATTATGGGATCTCCCAACAGAAGTTGTTGGGTTCAGAGATTACATCCTGTGGTCTGAGAGGAAAGCTCAGGAGTGAAGTACAGTCGGTATCTCTGTCCTTTTGGAACAGTGACCTGACCATTAATCACTGTGGCACCATGAATGTGCTGGGATTTAGAAGCTAGATTAGCAGGTCCTCTCTTGGATGGGACGCTGCAAGGCGGGTGACAGAGACTGCGCTGGCTGACTGAGAGCAACACCCACAGCAAGGATAGGGAATCTCCTAAGATGGCGGGCCAGGCGCAGCTGGAAGAGGGTGAAGGTGGCGGAGTACAAAGCAGGGCCACACCATGGGCACCTCCTGTGACACACAGACTGAGGTATATGCCAGGGCACGTGCTCCTTAATCTCAGTGTCCCCAACATGGCTGCTCATTCATTTAACAACCAACTGATTCTTTTTTTTAATTATTAATCTTTTTATTTATTTGTGCAGGGTATCACTACACAGGTCAGACTCACAGTAATCCTCCTGTCGCAGCCTTCCTGAGATTACAGGCGTGTGCCACCACACACAGTTTTGGAGTTCAGGGACCAACAGGGCATGTAGTACCAAGAATAGATAGAACCTGGGCTGACGCTTAGACTGCTGAGCTATCTCCCCAGCCCAGCCCATTGAGTCTTTTTTTTTTTTTTGTTCCGAATGCCCTCCGAATGCCTTCAAGGCAGCTTTGGCTGGCTTGAGTTGTGGGGATTGAACCACAGCGACCTGAGCCTGACTGCTTTGTTGAAGCAGCCACTTAAAGAACTGAGCTAAGGGGCACTGATCACTGGAATTATAGGAGTGTGCCACTACGCTCAGTCTCAGTGGCTCTGCATGCCCAGGGCTGGCGTGGCATGTGTATGCTGGGAATTGAACCCTGGTCACTGCGCTTGCCTAAGCAGGCACTTAGTCTGCTGAGCTATCTCACAGGCCCAAGGGAAGCATTTTTTAATGGAATGAAGTTTGTACATAATTCTCCCACCTTAACACAAGCTTTTTTACTTCTAATTTCCTGGCTCTACCTTAGGAAAGGGTCTAATCCTTGTGAATATGCAAATTTGGGTTCTGCATTTCTCACCAAATTTGTTTTTTTTTGTCTTTCTGTTTACAATTATGTGGTTGTGATTATGACAGGTTTCTCTTAGATGAGAAACCCAAATGATCAATAATTTTGAGAGCAAAATAAAAGGTGTTGGAAACCGGGAGGTAGACCTTGTGCGGATGGAAAGGGGATCTAGGAATGGAGAGGGGCGAGAGGGAGGAGGAGTAGCAAGGACTAAGATGCAGAATGTTCCATGCACGTGGTCCCAGCACCAGCTCTCATCCCTCCTTTCTCTTGCTTCACGCCTCATCCATAGGAAGCTCCCCCGCCCCCTTCCATGTCTACCCAGTGATTTTTGTTTTCTAGGGCTGTCACGATAAAGCACCACACACAACAGCGGTGTCACACAGCCTAGGTGGTCAGAGCTCTGAGATCAGGCTACTGCAGGTCCCAGGCACCTCCGGGACTTGAGCAGGGACTCCTTCTTGGCCTCTTCCGAGCACCTGGTGGTGGCTGAGATTCTCCTCAGTGTTGTCACCTTACAGTGGTATCACCACAGTCTCCCTGTATCCTCCACTTTACATGGCATGAGAAATGGCAGATCAGCCTCTGTCCAGTGACCACATATGAAGGTGACTACCTCAGTGAAGAACTTATTTCCACTGAGGCCACAGCTACCAGGGCTTAGGACAGTGCTGTCTGTATGTGTGGGAGACACAACCCAACACCTCTCTTGCTTATATCCTGGGCGTCAGCCTAGGTGTCGCTTCCTTTCCACTGTCATCTGCCTTCTCCAGTCCATTCTCAACTCCTCTGTGCAGAGTCTGCCGATGAGCCAATCCCCTAAGAATAAAAGCTGAAGTCCTTACTGTCACCCACAGGTCCCAGCCTCGCCCTGGGACCTCCTGGCGGGTCCTTTAGCCCGCAGGCAGTGTTCTCACCACCTGCCCTTTGCACTTGCTGCTCCTTTTGCCTGGGGAGCTCTCTCCAGGCGTGCTGGTACCAGGCTGTTGCACATAGCTTTATAATGCAAGTCGAGATCTCGCTTTGCTCTTGGTGCTGTAGCCAGCTCCTCTGGGGTCTTCCGGTTCTGTATGGATTTTAGTATTGTTTTCTCTAGTTCTACAGGGAGGAATGCCATTGGTATTTTATTATTTTAATTATTTTTTCTTTTTTTTTTAGTGTGTGCCAATAAAACTTTATTTATGGGTGCTGAGATTTGAATTTCATAAATATTCTACTTCAGCCATTTAAAATTGCAGAAACCATTTGCATGGCTTAAGGGCCATGAGAAAAAAAATTTTTTTTCCCCGTAATTTTATTGAGAGACAAATAGCAATGAGACAGTTTCAAATCAAATTGGTAGGACAGTTTCAATAATTAACACATTGCATACTCTCTTCCTAGTGGTTAATTGCTGTACAAGATGCGGACTTGATATCCTATTCACAAACACTATTAGAACAAATCCCTCTATTCATTAAGAGAATGTAACTATATATCTATCCTAACCACTTTGAATACACAGATACAAAATGGACATTCATTTGTATATCCCATTTTTTGTTTAGTTCCGTCATGCAAATATAGGTTTGTTAACTCAGCAAAATATTCTAAAAGAGTCCAGTAATCCATAATAGTATTGGGCCGTTGGTATTTTACCTGGGATTATATTAAATCCTTGTATCAGTTGAGAAGTATGGCCACTTTGACAATACTGGTTCTGCTTCTCCAAGAACAGGAGCTGTCTTCTCATTTTCTGATATCCTCTTCCATCTATTTTTCCAGAGAACTATAGCTTCTGTTGTAGCGGTCTTTTATTTCCTTGGCTAGGCTAGCTCCTTAGTATTTTATTTTTCTTGATGCTGTTGCAAATGGTATTGGTTTACTCATTTTTTTCTTTGTGGGTTCACTGTGGATGTACAGAATTGCTAATTTTTTTATTTTATTTTTGTATTTTAGGGAAGGGTGTACAGGGTGTTCTGGGTCTCTCTACTAGATCAGACCAATAGTGATTCTTCTGTTTACAGCCTCCCAAGTGCTGGGATTACAGACGTGCGCCACCATGCCCAGTTTCAATTGCTGTCTCAGTGCACCCCGGGGTTGGGTCGGGCACAGCAGGCCTGGGGATCAAACCCCGGGCCATGAGCCTGCTTGCAGATGCTTTAATCCACTGAGCTATTTGGCTGGCCCTTGTCCATTGATTTTGTACCTTAGTACTTTGCTGAATTTGATTATGAATTCTAGAAGTCTTTGGTTGAAATTTTTGGGTCTTCCATGTAGAGAATCATGTCATCTGCAAATAATGGTGATTTGACTTTTTCATTTCCTATACATTTCCTTTTATTTCTCTCTCTTACTTGATTGCTCTGGCTGCCCTTTCAAGGACTGTGTGGAGCAGAAGCGATGACAAGGACCATCTTTGTCTTGTCCCTGGTTTTAGAGGGAAAGCTTTCAGCTTCTTCCCATCTACCAGGATACTGACCTAAATGTCTAACTGAACTCTGAATGTGTTGTATTCTCTGCAGCTGTGGACTACTGCGGCTCAGAAGAGCACGGATGTGAACACGCATGTGTAAATGCAGATGGTTCCTACTTGTGCAAGTGCCATGAAGGATTTGCTCTTAACCCAGACAAGAAAACATGCACAAGTAAGTTTCACACGTGCATGCGCACATGTGCACTGCTGCCATGGGAACCGTGGCCGTGGAAATCTCCCAGGTGTAGGATGTCATAGGGCTCTGTCCTGGAGCTCTCTCCCCTTTGGCCCGAGTCCTCCTCTCTCAGGTTTTTCTGTGGTCTAAGGCTGTAGCTCCTCCCTCTGCCCATTACCAGCCACGGTGTCCAGCGAAGATATTTTTGAATGGAAGCCACCCGTGGGCACCCTCTGAGCGCACCAATAACTGGACCATCGCCCTCAGCCTGGTGTGCCCCTCGGTGCTAGCAGAGCTTGAGGAACGCTTCCAGCAAAGCTCCGTGGCGTGTGGCTCCCGCTTAGACTTCACAAAGGGCCGGGACATCTCTGGGCCAGAAAGAACTGAACACGGTGTTTTCAGGACGGGGCAGGGCTGGGTGGACGGCCTTTTGCAGAAAATTGCTCAGTTTTTGCTGCAGCTATTTAGTTCAGTTTGACTTATGCTTCCCAAATCAGAACATGCAATCTACAAAGAAAGGCGATCACTAATTTTACAAAAGAATTCTAATGGAGGTCTTTAAATATGGAATGTGTGGTAAGTTAGGAGTCCTGAGAACACGATTTTCTGGCTGTTGTGGAGACTCACTTGAGGGAAGCCTGCTCCAGTTGGCAGGGCCCAGCGTTTTTAAAAGGCAAAGTGTAATAGAAGGATAAAATAAAAACAGAACTTTGTGAATGGGGAAGAAAAGAGGGTTTGAAAAGAGGAAGTGGGGAAAAAAGAGGAATCAAAATATATCACATACAAATACAAATTCCCTATAACAAATGTGATCATTATGGTTAGCTAAATTGTAAACTTAGAATGAATAAACTTAAATTTTAAAAAGATAAGGCATCTAAGAAACATGTAGCAGTGAATAGATAGGATTTTAGTTTATAAAAAAACCTCATGTACCTTCCACCTTTCTAAAATGCACTCATTGCAAAAACAGGTTATACCGCCATAGTATATTTTTTTTTTAAAAAAGCATCCCCTAAAACATAAATGTATCTCCTGTCCTTTAATCCCTTAACATCTATAGTTTATAAGCATCAGGGCTGGAGGCAGAGGGTGTATTGCAGCAGGAAGGAGTATATTAAGTTACAAACAAACAAACATTCGTCCATCCACTTGTGCCAAGGCCTGGTACACATCTGTAACCTCACTTGGGAAGCTGAGGCAGGAGGATTGCTGTGAGGCCACTGCCAGCCTGGGCTACATCATGAGTGCAGGGCCAGCCTGAACTGCACAGAGAGACTCTCAACAAATAGAAATGAAAAAAAAAAACAAAACAGATTTTTGGAGCCACACCCATGAGCCAATGGGAATGAATGAAGCAGAGTCTTTCTAGGAGTAGGAAATGCCTCAGCTGGGTTTAAAGGCAGAGTTATTGGCTACCAGGCAAAGAAGGGTGACATAGGGTCCCAGGGGAGGAAGGATGTGCCAGGCTCTGCACTCAGTGCCCAGGACACGGCTGGCTTACAGCTGTTCTCTTGCTTTGTGGATGAGAGTGTGAATGGGCCACTCTGGGCCGCTTGTCCATCTCCCTCCCTCTGGTCAATCTGACCCGTGGGGCATGGACCCTGGCACGACAGGGTGGGGTTGCCGGGTTGGTGAGTCAGGGGTGCAGCTCCCCGCTCCTCTGCCTTGTCTCTGGGTGATCTTGGCAAGTTATTCTATGACTCAGTTTCTTCAGCTGTAACCAGCCGCTCGTGGTACCTACTTTGTGACATCATCGTGAAGCCTAAGCAAGCTGTTCATAGAAACCATCTTGTGGGTTGCCTGGTGCCACGTCATAAGATGGTGCGTACTGCTTTTCAAGACTGTTGGTATTTGCTGACTGTGTACCACAGAACCAGGATAAATTTAAAGGTACACAAGCCCTCCACAAGGAGTTGGGGGAGCCTAAGTCACAGCCACACAGAGAAGCTCGGTCACCATGCCGGTGCCTGCAACCACCTCATCTGCTGTCGCCCAGATCCACGGGAATTCCGTGTCCCTAGATGGCGCAGGCAAGGAGGAGGCCTGAGTGCTGGAGTTGCTGCAGAAGTAGATTGCACAGGGTGGGGCTGGGCGAGGAGGCCAGGCGAGGACTCAGCAGGCAGATCCAGCTCCAGCTGGGAGGTCTCCCTCGTCAGCCAGAGTCCCTGCTCTGCTTCCTCTGGGCCCTGTCACACTGAGACCCAGAGGTTGGTGCCCCAGCACGTGGGCAGAGCAGAGAGCTGGAAATCTGGGGGTCTCAACAAGAGTGGCAGGGTGACCTGTGTCCTGCAAGGGCTGCTTCCCCTTCCGGGACGGTGGGTGGGAGGGGTTAGGGAGTCAGAAGTAAGACAGAAGGTGGCTGGGGACATAGCTCAGTGGCTTAAGCACCTGCCTTGAAAGCACAAGGTCCTGAGTCAAATCCCTGGTACCCAAAAAAAAGTGCTTATTAGAGGCAAAAGCAGAGGAACGAAGCGGCCACCTGCTAGTGATGGGCAAGGCCGCTGGGCTGCAGCTCTGATGGCGCTGTGATGAGAGTTTTAAACATTTGTTCTACTTCTTATAGGTTTCCAAAAAGCAAATGCTCAGTTCCTTGCATTTCAGACTCCGTGTCTAACCAGCAGTATGACTGAAAGCTAGTTAACCCAGTTAGCAAGTACACGGCTGTTGACCAAATAAGGTGCAGTATGCCAAGTGTGATTAACTGATCCTGAGGTCAAAATGTACGTAATTTGAATTTTAAGTTCCTGAATAAGTAATTTAAACTACTTAAGTGTTATCAAAAAAGAAAAAAGCATCAGCCTCTGTATAAATTCTTTAAGCTCAAGCAACCTATCTGAATCAGCGAGAATATTCTATAGGAGGAAGAAAGGAAAAATCAGGTACCATCAATTTGCAAAATATTAGCAAGATTTTTTATGGTCAAATATGCAATGTATAAAATTTATCACTGTGAGTGCGTGTGTGTGTGTGTGTGTGTATGTGTGTGTGTTATTGAACCCCAGGGCCTCACATGCTAAGCAAGCACCCCATCACTGAGTTCCATCCCCAAATTTTTCTTTTTGTGGCAGAAACCCAGACTGCCCTCAAACTTGAGAACCTCCCGCCTCAGCCTCCTGTTTGGGCTTACAGGAATGTGCCACAGTCAGGGTGAAGTATACAGTTCAGTGGCTTTCTTAGTTACTTTTTATTGTTGCTGGGACAAAATACTCAATTAAGAAAAGGTTGGGGGCCTGGCCCTAGCTCAGGCCTTTAAGTGGCTGCTTCCACAAAGCTGTCAGCCTCAGGTTGCTGGAGTTCGAACCTCACACCTCTCCCGCTGGCCAAAAGTGCCCTGAAGGCATTCGAGGAACAAAAAAAAAAGAAAAGAAAAGAAAAGAAAAGGTTTATTTGGCTCACAGTTTGTAGAGGTTTCAGTCCATACTCGACTGGCTCCAAGGCAGAGTACCACATGGCAGAGGGCAGCTGTTCATGGTGGCAGAAAACAGCAAAATGGCAGGAGTGGCGGCAGAGGCGAGCCTCTCTTCCTTCTATTGCCTTCAGGCTGTGTGCCCCAGGGTGGGTGTAGCGCTCACACCCATGATCCCAGAAGTACTCAGACCCATAATCCCAGCTGTGGATCATGAATTAGTCACAAGACTCTGGAACAGCACCCCAGTGACTGCATGAGGCTTTAGGGGGGACAGCTACACACAAACCGTAACAGTGACATTAAGCACATTCACACTGTCGTGTAGCTATGATGTGTGTCCATCTCCAGAACTTTGTCTTCACTTCAGGTGGAAGCTCTGTCCCCATTAAACAGTGACTCTGGTTCTCTGACCCCGTAGCCAGCCCCTGCCAACCATCTTTCACCTTCTGTCTCTCTGAATTTGACTGTCTAGGTACTTGGTCTTTGTAGAATCATGTGGTCTCTGTCCTTTTGTGACCAGCTGATTTCATCTAGTATAATGTATTCTGGGTTCATCCCTTATGGCACAGTCAGAATTCCCTTTTTAAGTCTGACTAACTTTCCATTTTGTGTATATGCCTGTCAGGGACGTGGCCTAGCCCCCAGCTCCTAAAATGAGTTACGGCGAAGGCTTAAATGAGAAGACAAATGGTATGATGGGGAGGGGAGAAGGTCAGCACTCGGAATAAAGACAAGGACTCTTCTGTGTGACTGTGTTTATTGGGTTTTCACAGATTTGGAGGGTGCAGGAAAAGAAGGGCACATCAGAGGCAAAGGCCTGCAAAAATGACCTGGGCCCTGAGACACAGGCAGCTAGGACAACTGTCTGGTCTCTAACAGCTTTACTGCTCTGGAACAGGGAGTGTCCACAGCCTGTGTCCTCGGCTGCCTCGGTTGTGGTGTTATCTTGATTACAGAGCCCTGTGAATAGGAGCTTGGCCAACACTGCCAGAGGTCACTTCACGTTCAGCAATTGACCTGTACAAAGCCTGATCTCTGACACATGCCACATTCTGTTTATTCATGGACACTTCCACAGTTGGGCTGTTGTGAATCATGCTGCTATGGACTTGGGTGTACCAGTGTCTCTCCATGTCCCTTCTTTGGGGGCATACGGCAGGGCTAGAGTTGCCAGATCTGCCAGGCATGGCATACATGCTTGCAGCCCCAGCACTTGGAAGGCTGAGGCAGGAGGGCTGCCAGAAAGTAAAGGCCGGACTGAACTGCGCAATGGAGACCCTGTTTCAGAGAGAATGAGAGAGAGAGAGAGAGACAGACAGACAGACAGACAGACAGACAGAGACAGACACAGAGAGAGACAGAGACGGAAACAGAGAGACAGAGACAGAGACAGAGACAGAGACAGACACACAGAGACAGAGACAGAGAGAGAGCTGAGTGGTTGTCAGGCTTCCTGGCCAGGGCGTAGCTAGCCTGCTGAGCCCCACTGTCCCCCTACAGCCTGCAATGTCCCCCTGCTGTTGGTATCTCTCAGCTGGAAGGAGCCTTCCTGTTCCCCTTGGATCTTGCCCACCCGTCCATCCTG